TGCTCTCCAGGGACCTCTCTGTTCTCCAGGGACCTCTCTGCTCTCCAGGTACATCCCTGCCCTCACCCACCTGTGTTCTTCAACCACAGTGGATGGCAGAAGCAGCTTCTTTACATTAAGATGCTGCATCACCACGAATCCCCGGCTCCAAATGTTGTCCAAACTCACCCTGACTTCTTAATATATCCCTCTGAGCAAAGGTTTGAACCAAAAAGGTTGGAGAAGGAAAGTTGCACCGGCTTTGTCACTGCTGACACAGAAGTGCTGCATCTCCAAGCTCACTTTGTACTTCATAGCTCTGAGATTTGAAAGACTTTCACTTGTCTAAGAAATACTTGAAATTGGAGAGATAAGACATTAGTTTTAGGTACCACTTCAGTGACAGCACTCAACAGGACCTCAGGGTTTAGCATGTGTGTGTGTATACATTCCATTTTATCCTGCTCTATGTCTATATAGAAAAGTTGATGCAGCGAACTAGAATCAAGCTGTGCTTTATACTTTCATTTTTAATGGGCCCTTTCTTGGCTCCAAGGGCCCATTGTCATGAAGGAGGGAACTATCAGCCCTGGCTGGCAAGGATGGCTGGAGAGAGCAATCCTCTTCTGCCAAAGACAAATACAGTAAAAAGCAAGAAAAGGCACTGGACGATGATAAATGGTTCAAGTTCCTCGGCTGCAGGAGCCTCTTCATTAACTGCTTCACTGCTTTTGTCCCCTTTTACTTTGATTTTTTTTTCCTTTGGCTCTGTGCATGTGTCTGTGTGCCTGCAGCTCTCTATGCTCATCAGTGTGCTGCCTGCCTGTGGCTGCATGCTCCCATTCCAGGTGTATATCCCCCTCAGCTCTCCTATCCCAGGATGCAGCATTACATGAGAAAAATTAAAAGGAATAGAAAATATAGTTTTTAAAGGATGAGAAAATAAAAGGAATTGTCCAAGTGGTGTTTGGACAATGCTCTCAAGCACAGAGTGAGATTCTTGGGGTTATCCTTGAGGAACTGCACTCAGTGATCCCTATGGATCCTTTCCATCTCAGAAGATTCTACAAGATGGTTATACATTTTACACTAGCAATGTCACCTTGTGCTTCGTCCCAGAGGATAGAGTCTGCCTGGGGCCAGAACACCCACAGCAAACTCAGTGCAAACATGGTGCACCTCAAACTTCAGGCTCCAGGGAGCCAAACAGGACACTTCTTGTCCCAAGGTGACTTCCCCAGTGTGCTCCAAAAAAAACCCTGAATTTCTGAAGCTCACTGGAAGCTGCTCAATCACTGGAGACTCATTCCATCCCCTTCATTACTTGGCCCTTCCTCCATGTCCCACTTCAACCCTTGGAAAACCCTGATGAGCTCAAACATGGTAAAGGCTCATGGAGCTGCTGTGGGTCAGGACAGGGCACAGATGGGACAGATGAAGGACTGGTGACTCCATTTGACAAATTGAGGGGAACCAAGGCATGAAGACAGAGGCAAGGACTTGTCCAAGGACAAAGAGATCTTGACAGCTTCAGCAGAAGTGTGGTGGGGGACAGTGACCCTCTGAGATACCCAAGGAGGTACAGTCGCAGAGTCAGAGAATCACAGAATGGTTTGGGCGGGAAGAGACCTTAAAGCTCATCTAGTCCCAACCCTGCCACAGGTAGGGACACCTTCCACTAGACCAGGTTGCTCCAAGCCCCATCCAGCCTGGCCTGGAACACTCCCAGGGACAGAGCAGCCACAGCTTCTATGGAGAACCTGTGCCAGTGCCTCAGCATCCTCACAGCCAAGAACTTCTTCCCAACTTCCCATCTAACTCTGCCCTCTGGCAGTGGGAAGCCATTCCCCCTTGTCCTGAACCTCCAGGCCCTCGTTCAAAGTCCCTCTCCATCTCTCTTGGAGCCCCTTTAGGCACTGGAAGGCGCTCTAAGTTCTCTCTGGAGCTTTCTGTTCTCCAGGCTGACCATTCCCAGCTCTCTTAGCCTTTCACATCTTCCCCTTTTTAAAGAGGAAAGATCCACAGGGATGAACTCGAAGCTCAAGGAATCATCAGAAACCCTGAGCAGCTTTCATGCCCAGCTCACACTTTCAATGAATTTGTAGATGATGGGGCAGGGAAGAAAGATGAAGGAGAAAAGCTGCACTTGAGGACCTGTTCCCTGGAAATCCCAACAATTCAGAGGAGAGGCTGAGCAGAGGATTCATGGTCATCTGCTGCCATCTAGTGCCACCTGGGCACCCAAAACCCCTCCCTGGATCCATGAATTTCTCTCATCAGGATTTGAGTCCCACCAGTCCCATGGACCACAAGCCACATGGATGCATCATCCGTGTGCACTCCCTGTGACCACCTCAAGTTAGACAAAGCCACCAAATAGACCATCATGTATCACACCTAAATGACCATCTCCTCATATCCCTGCTCCAAGCAGGGAGCCAGTCTGCAGCTCCAGGGTGTTGGAGCTGGTTTGGGCTGAGAGAGCTGTTCCCAGCACTGCTGCTTTCTCTGCCTAGGGAAAAGGGATGTGGTGGCTCATTCTGCACCATGGCACAGCCAATCTGCCTCAAGAAAAAGCCTCTGGTGCATGCAAGGACATCTCCCAGACAGAGAAAGGGCCTTTGAGAAGGGTGAAAATATCTTTTGAGCCCTTGTGCTGCAGAGCAGAGCCCCAGAACAGCTTTGAAAGACCCCTCAGAGTAGAAATGGAGGTTTCTATCCATTCCTTTCTAGCCTGAACAGCTCAAATTTGGCCCTCAAATGTGTGTGTCCTAGTTCTGCACTGCTGGTGAAGTTTGAATTGCTGTAGAGGGTGAACAGCCTCTCTCTCCTCACCGGCAACAGGAGATGAAAGAGAGTGTGATAACCAGGCAGGTGACATTAATGGGCAAGAATCCCAGCCCAGGGATTGTGCAGCAGCTCGATATGATCATTCAGTTGCTTATCTCACAGGTTTTTTGACCACAGCACTGTCATCCCTCACTTTGTCATGAAGCTAAATGGTCTGAATGGTTGATAAAAGTTTTTTCCAATCACTTCATCATTGCAATGACTTCTCCAACCCCTCTCCAACCTTTTAACGTGCTGCTTACACCGACACTGGGCAGTAGAAGGGAAGGCATCCATGGGCAGGGAGCAGGGTTTCCCCTCTCCAGCAGCTCCATAGGCTCTTCCTCAAGTCCAATCATGTCATAATTGCCTGGATGATCACTAAAAGGAATGTGATCTTGAGAATGTTTAAGGATCAGTTCATTCATCCTGTCCTCTGGAGCTCATCTGAGGATGATCTCAAGAGGTCCCTTTCAACCTATTTAGGTGTGATTTTGTGACTTGTTATCGGAGTATGAGATGTTGGATATCCATGAATCCAAGAAAAATACAGAGATACCAGAGATCACAAAATCACAGAATCAGGCTGGAAAAGTCTTCCAAGACCACTGAGCCCAACCTTTGACAGATCACCACCTTGTCAACTAGACTAGAGCACTGTGTTGTACCAAGTTGTTTCCTGACCACCTTCGGAGATGATGACTTCACCACCAACCTGGGCAGCCCATTCCAATGCCTGCCAACCCTTCCATGAAATTCTTCCTGCAGATGCTTCACGGAAGACCCATGTGCAAGACCAAACACTTCAACACAAAGTCTGATTGTGAGAGTAAGGACAGCTTAGGTTAAAGTGGCCTTAACCACAACCTGCAATTAGCAGCTTGTTTTGTAACACTACGAATAATGAAACACCAGAACACCAGAACAACACCTGAGGGTTGTCCCTGAGTCTACATCATGGTTGGACACATTTCAAAAAGATCTGTCCCAGATCAGAGCAGATCTATCCCAACATGTCAACTACCCCAGTGTAGCTAATATGTTACACACGGCTGGACTGAATGATCTCAGGTTGAAGGGGCTTCAGGGATCTCTTTGCACTGATGTGGTAGGAGGCCTGGAGATCCTGATTTCTAAAGGTTCATGGAACTTCTGAGTAAGAAAAGAGGCAAACGAGCCAGAGGACTGTAAGTCTTTGTTCTTGTTTCAGACCCTAACAGAGCCGCATGTCAAGTCATAGGAAAGTGGCACCATACAATACTGTGCAGGTCAACAGCACCTTTCAACTGAGGATTGTAAAGCCCTTTCAAGACATCAGTTTGTTCCACCTCACAACGCCCCTGTGAGGTAGGTATCACCCCCCATTTTACAGATGGGGGAACTGAGGCACAGAGAAATGCAATGGCTTGGCCAAGGCCTTTGGGCAAGCCAATGCCATGGGCAGGAGGTTTTCTTGCTCTTGTTCCTGGTTTGTGGCTCCTACCCCGTTTGGAGAGCAGAGTGTTGGCAGCTCACGGAGCCACTGCTGGATTTGACTCATGAGCAGGGAACAGGCAATGTTTGTGGAGGGCTCCTGAGCCCCTTGTAAGCACCCTGGAAAACAGCTGCCACCAGCACTTGAGGCATTGAAATGTTTCCCAGACAGCTTCTCCTTCCAGGTACAACCCCAGGATTGCCACTGGTTTTCCTTGTGCAATCAGAGAGGAGGTCAGGAGGAGCCTGAGAACTTGGATCCTTCATGTAAATGTCCAAGCACTGCATGGTACAGTCCAAATTGGAAATGACGTTTCTCTCATGGCAAATGTCTCCCTGGAGACAATGCCCAGCATTGAGCTCTGGTGGCACTGGGTGGTGGGAGGCCTCACAGGCCTGGAGGAGAAGGAGGAGGTAGCTAGAAGGATATTACACTCTTACCAGCATCTTTCATCAGTGTTGGATGTTCACTTGCCTCCCAAGTCAGTCCATCCCAGTCCATGTGCAATGTCAAGAAGAAACTAAAGCTGGGAGGTAAATTGGCCAGGAAGCAATGCCAGGAGCTGTGGTGGAGTCTCCATCATTGAAACCCCATCTCCAACCAATCCTAACCCTTAGTTAAGTCATAGTACCAATTTCCCTTCTCCTCCCCCCACCACTACAGTTTTTGTGCTGAATACATATTCTGTCATATAAAAATAGTCCTCTGGTATCAAAAGACAAATAAAATGAGAGGAATAAAAGACCCCTGTGGCCTGCAGCAGTGCAAATCAGGAGAGCCAGCTCAGGAAGGATGGGCTCAGATGTCCTTGGATTGTCACTTCTTTGAGGAGAAGGAGGTTGATTGGACTTTGATGGCTGGGACTGGCCTAGAGTGAGCAGAGAAAGACACAACTCATTTGAGTGCAAAGATCAAGCATCCACGACCTCTAGCACACCCAACCTTCCATAGCTCAGGGCAGAGAGACGAGCCACAACTTCTCTGGGCAGCCTGAGCCAGTGCCTCACCACCCTCACAGCCAACAATTCCCTCCCAGTATCCCATCTAACCCTGCCTTCTCGCAGTGGGAAGCCACTGCTTGTGTCCCTATCCAAAGTCCCTCTCCAGGGCTGCTCTTGGTGGGCAGCAGAGACAAAACCATACAGTTTGGAGAAGGGAGATGAGTTTGACTGTCAGGATGTGCCAAGCCGTTCTCTTTTGGAATCATGGAACATCCCTTGTTTATTTACTAGGAGAGAGGGACTACAGAGATTGACTAACACTGAGACATTTTGGGGCATATTTAGACTCTTTGTGGTGTCAACCACAAAGGCCTAATAACCCAAAGTAGTGTAAGAGAGTCAAAGCAAACTGTCTGGGGATGGGGGACAACTTCAGCCCAGGATGGTGCTATCTCTCCATGGCTGGATATGTCCCATGAGCCTGGCTAGCAGCAGTGGATGCAAGTACAATCCGTTGAGGTTCCACTGACCCATCTCCAGAGGATTCAGCAGTACAGTAAGAGCTTGAAGTAGTGGTGATATTGTAAAGGACTCGATCTCCCAGCTCTAAACTGGAAAACCATGTGCTTCATTCCCTTGGACACAGGTGCCCAATCCTGCTGTTGCTGGGGTCTCTAGAGGGACTATGTCCTGCTCATCTAGGAACCTCTGGGAAGGTGGATATTTAATCCCCAGTCTCCAAATATTCATTCTATGATTCTAGAGAGAGTTGGACTTGATGATCTTAAAGGTCTCTTCCAACCTAGTTCCCAGCCCAGTGCCTAACCGAAGGCCACTCCCCACCAAGTAGTCCCCATGGGTCTACATGATGTCCTTTACTCACCTTTGAGGTGGCATCGGTCTGCAGGGAGGAAAGATGAAAGAGAGCATCAATGTCCACCCCTTCACTTCACTGTCCCCCAGCAGAACACCAGCAGCTCCCTCCATGCTCTGGGATCCACGTGCACCCCCAAAAGAGGGCATCTCCCTTAACCCAGGACCTTACAAGACCCAGCCTTGATCACCATTGGCCAATTTTGGCCAATGTGGCTGCAGACCATTGGGATGTCCTACAAAGATGTGACCCACAAGACCCCACAGTGTCCACCTACAGGACCTCAGCCATGATGGGAGGCACTCAACTCCTCTCACAACTCACTTTAAGGGCCTCATGGGGTGGCTCGTGGCACTTGTACCCGACACCTTGAAGTTGGTAGGAGGGACCATGACCAGCAGGGTCTGTCCATGTGCAGGAGGCAGCTCTTTGGCCAGAAGGGGACTTCCAGGAAGTGGCCGACGTGGGGGCTGGTGCTTTGGGACCACCTGGGATCACAGAGTGTATGGGGAGATAAAACACCCTTAGAGGAGCATCCAATGTCCTCCTGCAAACCTCCCTCCCTCACTGCAGAGCTGAGAAGCTGCAAAGCATGAAAGAACACCCAAACTACCTTAAAATACTCTCATTATCTAATGACTTTTCTTCACTGTTGCAACAGGTCCATCTCTTTGGATGGTGTGACAGCTCCTTTATAGAGTCCAACCCCAAACCATCCAAAACCCAGGGAATTTGAACCTGGAAGGAAAGCACAGCCAACCAGTAACACTCACCAGCGGGGTCCTCACAGGGCTGCAAGGAAGAGGTTTCTTTGGAGGTGGGAGCTTAGCCTGGGAGATGACACTTTTGGTGGGGATCATGGGTGACTTGCTGACTGGTGGAGGTGGCCTGGCAGGCCTGGGGTCTCTGGGGCGTGGAGGGATGGAGTGGGGAGCAGGACGAAGAGGGTGGACGATGTTGACAGGCTGAGAGCCAGGCTGGTGAACACCAGATTTGGGGAGGAACGCAGTCCGTGCTGCCTGCTGAGATGAGAAGAGCCGAAGTATGGAGAAAATCCTTAGATGTTTTTCTAGGTACTAAAAATCAAGTCTCCCCTTGAGGACTGAGTTCTAGGGAGGTGCAGGAGTGCAGGATATTTATTCCACTTTCTGGGACCACCACTTCTACCATCTCACCCAGAAACTGAACATGTTTAGTGGTGCACCTGGCAGTACCCATGGGTGGACTTGGAAGACCTTAAAGGTCTTTTCCAACCTAAATGATTCTGTGTTTACTCCTCACTGACCATATGAGAGGACACAGGGATGAGAAAAGTGCTGGGCTCAAAGATCCAGAGCAGGGTCAGCTTTGGTGAATCCATGCTCATATCAACCTTCCAGTGTCTGAAGGGGCTACAAGGAAGCTGGAGAGGGACTCTTTGTTAGGAACTGGAGTGATAAGACAAGGCGTAATGGGGATAAATTCAAAGAGGGGAAATTTAAAGTAGATATTAGGAAGAAGTTTCCTCCTGTGAGTGAGGTGAGACACTGGCACAGGTTGCCTAGGGAGGTTGTGGATGCCCCAACCCTGGCAGTGTTCATTCCAGGTTGGATAAAGCCTTGAGCAACCATGTCTGGTGGGAGGTGTCCCTGCCCAGGGCAGGGGGTTGGAACTAGATGATCTCTAAGGTCCATACCAACCCCTTAAAATTCTATGAAACTATGAATCCACACCATATTTCCACCAGATGGGAGTCATCATCCACTCTGCCCTGCTCACAGACACTGTGGCTGTGCTCAAAAAATCTGAAGTCTTCCTAAATGTAGTCCTAATGTTGAAATAAAGCACCATGAGAAGGTCAAAAGTTTAAAATTTACTGAATTATACTACAAGGCACATAAAACAACTTCTGAAAAATGAGGGAATAACTAAATCTTCTGGAGCCATGACCCAAGATGGAAGAACAGGAGGACACCACAAATCAAACTACAAAGCCAAAGCACACCTTTTTTTGAATTTTGGGCTCATAGCCATAGGAAAATACTCACCCATGGACTATGATCACCTTTTTCCACATGGGCAATGTCCCAATGGAGGCTCCTGGCAATCATCAGGGCCTTTCTTGAGCAGGTAGATCTCAAGAGACTCACTTTTAGAAGCAATGGGTACTAGCAACCACAGGCTCAGTGTAGACAGTGCAAAACCAGCATGGAGCATCAGTTGCTTGCCCAGCTGCTGGAGGTAGATATGATCCCTCACAGGTATCACACCCCAGGGAGAGAAAACAAATTTGGCAGGTGAGTTATCACTTACTTTATTAGTGTGGCTGGAGGTGGAGATGTTTCTCAAGGTGAAAGCAGCTTTGGGACGGCCACTGGTTGACTTCCGACTGATGGATTTACTCCTGCCCAGGATTACAAATGTCAGTACCAGATGGAAAAACAAAGGAACCACATTTGCAACAGCTGTTCCTGAAATGCTGCACATCAGTGACATCCTGTCTGTGGTAACAGATCACTAACAGACAGCCTTGCACTGCTGGGTGAGCAGGGGTGAGAGTCTGTCGAGGTAATAAGGGTAATGCAGGGGGTTGGTTGGTTGGTTCTGGGTTTTTCTCTGAAGTTATTGCAGGTGCTCTGAGAGGGGAAGGAGGATGGTGTGTCTGTACCTGTACTGGGAGGGGAAATAATGGGAATATCAAAATTCAGTGGTTCTTAGAACTGTTGGAGCTCTTTCAGCCTGCTAGAAGCAGGTGGTGAGAAAGCTCCTTGGTACCAGCCACCTTCATCATCACTCCCTAGGATGGTCCTTTTAGTTGTTCCTCTAGTTGGGGAAGAGCTGAGAGTCTCAGATTTTCCCAGGAGAGACCTCTTCAAATCTCAAACCATGTCTCATACCAGTTTGAAACAGACCCTGTGCCCCACCAGCTCCCCCAGAACCATTCAGACCAGGCTGGATGAAACAAGGTTTCAGGGTCTCACGGGGTTCTCAAGAGAGAGGGGATTTAGGATGCATCACCCACCTGTATGCCTCCCGGATCCTCTTCCTCATCTCCTTTATCCATTTATTCAGGAGGGAGTTCTCCCGACGGTACCAATAGTAGATGCTCATCATCAGGGCCGGTAGGAAGAACAGGAGGATGACCAGGAGGGCTATCAAAATGACTTTGTGATCTAGCAGGGAGAGCACAGACATGAGTGAGGGACTGGGACTGTTACCAGCCTCTGGCCTCACTGGATGGAAACATTAATGCCCATCCCCAACCAAGTTAGAGACATCACTGCTGGGCACACCTCCAAAAAGGGAGCAAGGACCATCCAGTGGCCTCTGGTGGGAATGGGTGACCACCAAGCAGCCAGAGTTGGACACAGACTGAGTCTACCTCAACAGATGCAACCCAGAACCTCTGGGAGCAGAGCTGACAGCAGGTTTATCATCCCATTTCCCCCTCTCATGGCATCACTCCAGCCCCACCAGCATCTCAAGGCACTGAATGAGAAGTTGTGACTCACTGTCACGCTGCACAGGGCCACTGTCCACACTCCCACCCAAGCCTGGCTTCTCACAGTAGGGGGGAGCCCAGCCAGCATCACAGTGGCAGTTCTTATTGCTGTTGCAGACCTGAAGAGAGAGAAAGAAGGTTGGAGACCACGAGGGATGTGAGGAAATAATGGGATGAGAGCAGAAGGCCAGTGACAAGTGTCTGGCTGGAGGAGTTTTACCCCAGCCAATATTCACCTCTTGAACATCACAGAACCACAGAATGCCCTGAGTTGGAAGGGACCTTAAAGATCATCTTGTTTCACCACCCTGTCTTGGGCAGAGACACCTTCCACTACACCAGGTTGCTCCAAGTCCCATCCAACCTGGCCTGGAACACTTCTAGGGATGGGGCAGCCACAGCTTCTCTGGGCAACCTGTGCCACTATCTCACCACCCCTTGAGTAAAGAATATCAATACCTAATATCAAAACTAAATCTCTCCTCTTTTAGTTTCAAACCATCCCCCTGGTCCTATCCCTGTATGCTCTTGTAGAAAGTACACATACCCCAGTTCTCTTAGAGCTCCTTTATGCACTGGAAGGGGCTCTAAAGTTTCCCTGAAGCCTTCTCTTCTCCAGGCTGGACACCCCCAGCTCTCTGAAGAGCTTTAACAATGCTGAGCAGACCAAAAAGGTAAATCTGGGTGTTTTACTTATTGTATTTCTCTACATAATCCAGCAGATCTCCGACAGCAGTTTGCTGTTGCCTCATCTGTCACCGCCCTGCATTCCACAGAGGTCAAACCTTTGTAGCCTTCAAGTTTTGGACAACAGTGTCTCTTTCTATTCACTGAACCATTTCCCTGCCTTTTTGCAGTCCCAGTTGTCTTCCTAATTCCTGCTTTGCTCTCAGAGGGGAACAGACACCTGCTCTGAGCTCCAAACACTCTCCAAATTTTGCAGATGTTCCTTACATCATGAATGAACTTATTCCTCTCACTTGGATATGAGTAAGCAAAGATCCAAGCTCAGCCTCACCTGTAGCTGATGAATGAGGCAGTTACGAAAGGCAGAAATCCTTTGTGTTACAGGGCTCATCCCTGTGGGAGACACTTGGTTTGGCTTAAATATCTGTGCCTCATCTCAGGAGCTTTCTGGAGGTCTTGGGCAGTAACTCACCCCATGGCCATTGCACCGGGAAACACACTTTTCCAGCTCAAAAAGGGAGGCATTCTGGCACCGGCGATCCTTGCAAACCTGAGAGAAAGCCAAGTAGCTGAGGTTAGAGAAAGCCTCTAGAGAGGGGAGACAGCGATCTTGTGGCTTCACAGATGGAGGTTCTCTGGAAGGATGTTGCCTGTTGGAAAAGGCAGGTTGGTTAAATCCCATTATTCCAGGCAAATGGATTTCACTCCAATTTTCAGCACAGCCTAGGAAATCTCTGCCATTCCACTATCCAGGACAGCTCAGCAGAGACCAACCACTACCACTGCCAGCTCTCCTCCCCAGACAGCCCACCTGGCAGCTCCTGGAGAAACCATTTCCCATCTGGCCCTCAAATGTGGGCACCAGCCAAAAAAAACAATGCCGGATTTCAACCCCAGCCATCCTTCCTCATGAAAATGTCAACATTTTGGCCTTCCATCCCAAACTGGGATGAAAATTTCACAATTAAAACACCGAACAGCACAGGCTACAGCTCTGCAGCCAACTCTCTGGCACACATCCCTGTTACTGTGTTCTCCACCAGGCTTCTGCCCTTTTACAGCTCAACTGACTCCCTTGAAAGTACTTGGAAATGAGGCGGCAAAAGAGCCTAATGTTCACCTAGCACTGGATTTGTCATGTTGACTCCTAACAGGGAAACAATTTCTTCATAGGAGGAAGCCTCATCCATCAAGTCCTGGGGCAATTCTTGTTGGGGTTGTTACACTATGAATCAAATGAGAAAAGCAGCATGGAGGCCAGAGAGAGTTTCATTGTCTAAACATGAGCATCTGCTGATGTCTAGAAATGTTCCAGTTGAGACAAATGTGGTGGCCTACAAATATCTACTGATGTCTAGAAATGCTCCAGCTGAGATGTCATCAAGGCAATGTCTGCACACATGGAGGAAACCATGTCCTGTGGCCCAGCTGTAACACAGAGAAGAGCCAATGTCCACATTGGAGCTGGATAAGAGCCAAGGAGATTCACAGAGTATTAAGGGGTTGAAACAGACCTTAGAGATCATTTGGTCTCAACCCTCCCTGCCATGGAGAGAGACACCTCCCACCAGAGCAGGTTGCTCAAGCATTTATCCAACCTGGCTGGGAACACTGCCAGGGTTGGGGCAGCCACAGTCTCCCTGGGCAGCCTGTGCCAGTGTCTCACCACACAGGGAAAAACTTCTTCCTAATATCTAACTTAAATTTCCCCTCTTTCAATTTATCCCCATTACTCCTTGTCCTGTCACTACAATTCCTAACCAAGAGTCCCTCTCCAGCTTCCCTGTGCCCCTTCAGATCCTGGAAAGTTGCTCTGAGGTCACTAGGCTGAACAACCTCAGCCTCCTCAGCCTGTCTTCGTATGGGAGATGCTACAATCCTATTATCAACTCTGTGGCCCTCCTCTGACCTCCCGCAGGAATCCCAGCCCTAGGAAGAGGCACTCACCATCCCATCTCCACATTTTGTCCCTGTCATCACCAGCCCAGGGTCAGAGAGGTCTTCCTCGTCATCCTTCGCAGTGTACATGTAGGTGCCACGGCACTTCACCTCGCGCCCGTTGAAGCGGATGGTAGTGTCGATGGAGACAGTGTTGGTCCCTTGGGGCTTCTTAGCTGAGCTCTGGCACTGGATTTTGCCACACATGGCATCCCTGAGAACAGGCACAGACGAGGTGAGGGTGGGAGGTAGGGGTACAGGTCACCTCACCCTCCCTGCCCCATCCTCCCACACCTCCTCTGAATTTATGGCCACATTGGGTGGTGATGGAGAGGCACAGCTCAGAAAGGACTTGGATAAATCGTGGACAGCAAGGAGAAGTGCTGGAGGGAACAGGCATAGGGGACCTCTAACATCCCTGGTTTAACTGGGAATACTGGAGAGCACATGGTCCCTAAACAGCATTCTCCATTGCTGCTGTCTTTGATTGTTCCATCAAGCTGGCCTGGGAGGTGCTGCATGGTGAGACAACAGAATCACAGAATCACTTAGGTCGGAAAAGACCTTCAAGATCATCAAGTCCAACCTCACAGCAGTGATGAAGACAGAGCCCAGGAAGGACCTGGTGGCTTCCTTGGGTCCAAAAAATGGGGCTGAACCAAGGGCTGATGCCAGGAGGTTGAGGTAGGACTCTCCTAGTCCCTTTGCAATGGTGGACAGCTGGGTGGCTGGAGATGCAGGAGGAGGAGATGGGGCACTGCACCCACCTCTTGTCACACTTGACGTAGCGCCCTTGGCTGTCTTTGCCACAGTTGCCATAGGTGTTTCCAGCCATGTTCACATCCTGGAAACAGGCATCTGGGGCTGGCCAGGCACCTGCAGGGAGGAAGAAAAGGTCCTGTGTGGGGTGGGGAAAGTAGGCAGTGGGGGGAAATTTCGAGAGCAGGAGCAGCAGCTGGATGGTCATAGAGAAAACACCATGGAAAAGTCTCGTGAAGAGCTACTGCCGCAGGTACTAGGCCAAAAACAGCATGAGAGGGAGGAAATTCCCTCTTCTCTGGGGTCTTGTGGAAGATTTTAGTCATAGAAACACAGAACGGTTTAGGCTGGAAGGGACCTTAAAAAACATCTCATTGACTCCCCCGTCATAGCAAAGGACACCTTCCAATAGACCAGGTTGCTCCAAGCCCCATCCAAACTGACCTTGAACTCTTCCAGGCATGGGGCATCACAGATTCTCTGAGTAAACTGCTCCAGTGCCCCTCCATCCAGTACCCTCCAACCTCATGGGCAGGCAACCCCACATCGGACTCAGGGCTGATACCCAGTGTGGATCCTGCTCTGGAAAGGGTTGGGAAAGAGGCAGGACTGAGGCTGGTGGGACTCACCTGGTCCCCAGAGCTGGACACACTGCTGGTGGTGGGTCATGCACATCCCATTGTTGCAGTAAGCCTCTCCATAGGCACAGGAGGAGCCATCCAGTAGGTACACGTTGGCTGGGCAGTAGGGTGAGGCACCTGTGCAATATTCAGGGAGGTCACAGGATCCTGCTGCTTCCCTGCACATCGTCCCAGCCACCTTCAGCTGCCACAGGAGAGAGAAACATCAGCACTGAGCCAAGGGACCAAGGCAGAATTGCTGCTGTCACCTGGCACGGTTTGGGGCCATGAATCATCTGTAATGTCCCCTGTGGGACTATATGGGGCTGTCAAGGTATGGAGACAAATCCTGGGTTGGACCTCAGCCATAAAGCAGCCAGCAGAGATTCTCGTGGAGAGTGACTTTTGACAAAGGCATGGGGTGCCAGGACAAAGGGGAATGGCTTCCCACTGCCAGAGGGCAAGGTTAGATGAGATATCAGGAAGAAATTGTTCCCTGTGAGAGTGGTGAGGCACTGGCACAGATTTCCCAGAGAAGGTGTGGCTGATCCATCTCTGGAAGTGTTCAAGGACAGGTGGGATGGGGCTTGGTCTAGTGGATGGTGTCCCTGGTCATGGCAGGTGGTTGGAATGAGATGATCTTTAAGGTCCCTTCCAACCCAACCCATTCTATGGTGCTGCTGCAGACACAAGTTTACACATAACCCTCCTCACTTGGCACCAGGGAAGTCTGAGATTATGGGTGTGCAGCACTTTGACCATATGGATGTGCAGCACATGAGTCCAGAGGAAACAGCAGGGCCATATCTCCCTTCTCAGCCCGTGGGCATGGTGGGGGCATGGTGGGGGGCACAGTGGGGTCTTACCTTGCAGTTCTGGCAGCAGTCACCATGGGCACACTGGGCCCCCTCCTTCAGTGTGCAGTTGTGAGCGTTGCAGCACGGATTGGTGCACTCCTGCGTGAGGTGGAGAAGTAGAAGACAACACCCTGGTCAGTGATTCCATCCCTTCTCCAACTCTTAAAAAACCACAGCATTGCTCTTCTCATTTTACTAACAGGGAAACTGAAGCACAGAGGGGATGAACAAGACCTAAGGACTCTAGGGAAAAGTCTAGCAAAAAGCCAGGACCAGGTTAAATGGATTCAGGAAGGTGGAATGGGAGGAATTCTTGGGATGGACTCCCTCTGGTGACCAGCAAACCCCCTTCCCTTAGAAACGCCCCCCTCCACATGGTCCACATCCTGCCACCCTGCAGCTGAGCTGAGCTGCAAAAGCTTCTGTAAGAAAGCAATGCAGTGCCCAGCTTGTACCTCCACCTCCCCACAGTCACAGTCTTCTCCTTCCTCTCGAAAGCCATTGCCACACTTCCGTCCCACCACCAGGTCCTTGGTGTCAGGCAGGTTGAAGAGACACATGCCACCTCCCTTCTGGAAGTAGCTCTCCAGCTGCCTCTTGCTGCAGGAGCTGAACACCCGAGGGAAGGGGTGTCTGTGCAGGGGACAGAGAGGGAGCGAGGGAGGGAGGGAGGGGAAAACGGTAATCAAGACCATGAGAAAGTGGAAAATCAGTCAGAACTGGGAATTGAGGATATGGACAAACCAGCACAAGCTCTTTCAAGAGCAGAAAGACTGTTCAGTGAGTACATGAGCATCTCCCACCCCAACTCTCATGAATGAGCACCAGACTAACAACCAAGGAACACCCAAAATTCTCAGGAATGGGATGAGGGGACAGGCAGAGCTGCTGTCCTTCATGCCTAGAGCATCAACCCTCCAGCGTGAAACCTCTTGGAGACTGGAGACCCCCATGGTGTGAACCTCAACATACAGAAGCACCCATGCATGCAGGCTCTGTCAGCTCAATGCTGGTGCAGATGTCACCTCTGCCTCATTCCTCTGCACCTGGGACACCACAGACACCTCTGTGCTAACCACACAGCAGGTTGCCACATCTGCAGTGCCCTTCTGCTCAGCATGTCAGCTAAAGATGTGTCTGATTTCACTGAACCACTGACAGGAAACTCCAGTTCAGGGCTGAGATGGCTGAAAATCATTTAAAAATTAAAGAAATATGGAAAAGAAACAGCAAAAACTCATACAGGAGCAAAAAACATAAGTAAATCAGAACATAAAATGTGTAAAGTAATTTCTCCAACAACCCAGCTGGTCTTTCTCCTAAGAGAGAAAGTGATTTTCTAGAGAAGCTCTGAGCATGTTCTTCCGTAATTTTGCAAAGTTTGTGGGGTTTTTGTGCAATTTACAAAGAAGAAGGAGGCATTTCCTCCTTCTTAGTAATAGTTTCAGTTCTTCCTAAGGCTGAAAAATAGTTTTATTTCATATTAGGACATCTCATTTTCAAGATGACACAGAGGAGTTTTTATAGAATTATATAAGTCTGGAGGAAATCTCTTGAGCTGCAGAGAAAGGTGTAAGTGCCTGCAAGTTGTGAGGGGGGAAGCAAGTAAATATACATGAAAGTATACAAAATATACAGGAATGTGCAAATAGGGGAAGGTTAACGATGGTCAAAAATATGCTTTTTCCCACCACAATCCACCTAGGCAGAGGGTGAACCCCTTGGGATCAGGACAGGTGTCTGACAGCCCTGAGAGCCAAGAGGGAACAGCCTGGGGACACCCTGGAATGACACCATGCGGTTTCATTGTCCTTTACTAAGAGCAGATGGATTCAAGTAAGAGGGAATCAAGCTGCTTTTCTGCAGTGCAGGGATATCTAGGATGACTGTAGTCTCAGGAGATGGAAGACCCAAAAGGAGGATTGCAAGTGGCACCAATCAGATGAATGTCATACAGTTTTGGACTGAATTAAAGGGTAAAAGCAAAGGAAAACAAAGCCTGGATGGATTCCAGAGAGCATGAAAATTAATACCTAACACTCCTGAGCATCCTGCATCCAGTCTGGGATGAGGGATGTGAGCTCATCCCACCACAGCCCGGCAGTGCCTTGAGCCCTCATTTGCATAACAGAGAGACTAGGCACTCCTTGGCCCTCCAGTCTTACAACAATTCTGTTGTGATGAGGTGTGGGATAGCACACGAAAATGCCTTGGATTCCTGTGATGTGTCTGTCAGATAACATCCATTTACTTCCATCCTTAGCTATTTTGGGGCTGCTGCAACCACTCTGCTGCCCCTCAGAGACCACCGGTCCTTCCAACTCCAAGGCCCAGGCCTTGGGATGTGCTCACTCCATGGAATCAAGAGTCACAGAATGGGTTGGGTTGGAAGGGATCTTAAAGACCATCTAGCTCCAAGTCCCTGCCATGCCATGACAGGTGGTTCCAAGCCCCATCCAACCTGGCCTGGAACACTCCCAGGGACAGAGCAGCCACAGCTTCTCTAGGCAACCTGTGCCAGTGCCTCACCAGCCTCACAGCCAAGAATTCCTTCCCAATATTCCATCTAACCCTGCCCTCTGGCAGTGGGAAGCCATTCCCCCTTGTCCTGTCCCTCCAGGCCCATATCCCACGTCCCTCTGCAGTTCTCTTAGAGCTCCTTTAGGCACTGGAAGGTGTCCTGAGGTCTCCCTGGAGCCTTCTCTTCCCCAAGCTGAATACTGCCAGCTCTCGTAGCCTGGCTCCATGGCAGAGGTGCCAAGACCCCTCCCCACTGCCCACCCCACCCACATCCCACTCCCACTTACCCAGTGGCTGCTGCCATGACACCACACAGCAGCCTTTGCTGTCATGGACCATGCCAAAATTATGGCCAATTTCATGGGCCATAGTGGCAGCGGCTCCGACGGGCTGCTCCGCATGGTCCTGCACAGGGAGAAGGGATGTGTCAGTATGGCAGGCAGGGGCAATGTAGAGAGGTGATCCTGTAGCAGGGAATGTTGCTGGGGTGATGGAGGGGCCACACATCCCTGGGACTGCTACTGGATCCCACGTGAAGGACAGAGAAAGGGTTGGAAGATGACAGAATTGCGGTTTGGTCTTCTAGAAGTCTTTCATGGGACTGTTGGGAAGTTCTTTTGATGGAGCTGAAAGCCTGAGACCTTGGAAGACGCATCCCAAAAAAACCAGAAATCTGAGTGCCCACCATCACCCTGCCTAGAGACCACAGGTCATCAGGGCCTCCACCACCATGACCAGGGCCACAATCAGGAGAAGAGTGATCTGGGAGAGATGACCCCACAAAACCAGAGAGAAAAGCAAGGGCTCTTCAATATGAGGGGCAGAAGCATCACAGGAGATGCCAACACCACTGTTAGCTAGAAGCTGAGGGTGCGCATCGGGTGGGAGACCTTTCAACTAGCTCCTTCTCACTCCCCTTAGCTAATATCTGAGAGGGGTAAGGGGCTATCAGCATCATTGCGCACTCTCAGCAGCATCCCAGGACCAACCCCAGATGGATGGTCCTCCAAACCCATGAAGAACCTCAGCAAGTCAGGGTAGCAATGGGGTTCTCCAGCCTGGGAGGAGCAGTGGGGACCTCCATGCCCCTCTTACCACGCTGACACCTCCAGAGTTATCCACGCTGCACATCCCCTCCAGTGGGGCCATGCCAATGGTTGTCCCTCCAAACGTCTTCCCTCTGCCCAGAAAGGAGAAGGGAGCAGGAGTTAGCACCCCAGTGTGGTTTGGAGACCTCAGTTTGAGCTGGGAGCCCCCTGCCCCAGTGTCCCCAGGTCCAAGAGGATGCTCACGTCAGCAGTTGGGCATTGTCGTGCTTCTTCCGTGACCTCAGTGATTTCTTCCACTGCAGGAAGGCCCAGAGAGTGGCATTGGCATCACTGGTGACAGCACACTGGTCCCGCTCTGTCCACACCTCCAGGCCTATCAGGGCCACCTTGATATTCAGCAGCCTGTAAAACTGCAAGGAGGGAACGGATGGAGGGGACAGGGTCTGGAATTCACTGGACATCCATCCCTGCCATGGCATTTCAGCTGGTGAGTCCCCATGTTTGCCTCCAGCTGGGTGACTTGGAGGCACATTTGTCCCAAATCCACCTACAAGCATGGGCTCTACAGGCACAGGGGTGGGCACAGGAACCAGTCAGGGTGGCACAATGACATCCATCAGTTGACAATGCCTAAACATGTCCCTCCTTGTGAGCTGCTGCTGCAGCTCAGCCAATGGGTGGCAAAAGCAATTTCCACTACGTGCATCTAAACTCCTAAATTCCTTGATGGGTGGTCAAGCCCTGGCATAGGCTGCCCAGGGCAGTGGTGGAGTCACTCTCCCTTGAGGTATTTATCAGATGTGAAGATGTGGCACCTGGGGACATGGGTTAGTGGTGGCCTTGGCAGTGCTGAGGGAATTGTTGGACTCAATGGACTTAGAGGTCTTTCCCAACCTTAATAATTCCATAATGCTAAGATTCCTAGCCCTAGTGACACAGGAACAGTTCCTGAGGGCCACCACAAGGCTCGTGCCAAGTTCAGGTGCTCTCACAGGCACTGGGAATGATGGAGCTGGTCAGAAGGGCCTGGCAGGTCCCTGTCACCAGCCATTACCTTGTCCACATAGTTTGCGATCTCCACAAGCCGTTGCTTGGTGTGGCCCAGGTTGAGGTTCTGGTTCCTGTACTGCAGACAGACAGGGTTGGGGAAGGATCACCAGAGGACAAGCATAAATGAAGACAGAAAGGGGTCCTGGTTTTTGGCAGGAGACCAGGTTTTGTCCCCCACAGCACTCACCAGTGTGTGATCGGCAACGATGAAGAGCTCCATGTACTTCATGGTTCTCCAGGCATCTCTCCTTACCTGCAAGACAGACACAAGGCTCAGAAAAGTGAAAGAGAGGGCAGCCCATGGCTCTGGGCATCTTCCCAGACACCACAGAGCTGCTCAGGAGGGACAACTGAGAGGGGAAACTGAGGCACAAGGTGACAAGGACAAGGTGGCTACAACGTCATGTTCCACACCACAGGAAACAGCACTGGTACCCAACCCACATGTCCTTCCTTTGAGGTCTCACAATCAACTTCAGACCAAGATAACCTGCCCACAGAGCCCCCTCAGGTGCCATCTGCCTGCACAACCCTGGCCAGATGGCAGGGTGATGGGCACCCTTCCACACGGTGCAGACAGCCCCACTCCCAGCCTTCTGCCCCTCCCTGAGCACAGGACCCCGGGATGGATTTACCCGTTGGTGCACCGGCTGGAAGAGCTGAGCAACGTCAGCAATAGTGCTCCCAAAATCATCTCCGTGGCCACAGGTCCCACCTCGGATGGGCAAGTGCTCTGCTCGGTGGATGACGTGGTGCCCTGGCTCGGGGGTCCCCAGGGGTTTCAGGTAGTAGCTGGCATTGTTGCTCAGCACTATGAGGCCCCTGGGAATGGAGAACAGCCCCTGATGGCTCCTGTGGTGCTTCCACTCTGTCTCCCTCAGTCCCTGAGGCCCCACAAACTCATAGCACCTCAGCCTGGTCCATACCTGAGGTGGGAGCAGGAACAAGAGGTGGAGGTCTCTGTCCAAACAGCCCCATGAGCTATTATACCCTTGGCATTAAAGCCCTGTGCCTGTTAGATCACAGGAACGAAGCTCCGTTCTGGTGTACCCACTGTGGGGTGCGGGGTCTTCCCTCCTCCAGAGATGAATTTTCCCAAAAGCAGCTCATGCTGCCAGAAAAATGGCCTCTCCCTCACCCCGCCTGCCCTCTCCCAGGGTTGGGTGAAGGATGGGAGTCACAGAAAAATCAGCCCTGTGAAGCATTTAGACCTGGGCTGCAAGAGCATCAATATTGCTCCAGGGGGTCCCCAAAGGGGATCCCTGCAGAGAGGAAGGAGCAGTGGATCCATCCCCCTGTTTTTCAGCCCCACACCCTCCCTGCCCTGCATGTCTCCATACCGTATTCCCGAGCAGGTGCTGAGGACAATCCAGGAGCCTCGGTAGCCGTGGACGTGGCCATGGTAGTAGCAGTGGTCCTGGAGAGAGGAGATGGAGACCTCCTTTAGAGACCCCCACGCCGGGCTGGGCAGCAACACACCCTGTGTGCTGCTCCCAAAACAACACCCATTCTCCATGTCTCAGTCAGGGGAGCAGTGTCCTTCTGCACCAGGACGGGAGGGACGGAGCCAGGAGCTGGAGTTCAGCCCAGGACACAGACAGCCCAGCGCCCGGCTCGGCGCTCTGGAAGGGTGACAAAAGGCCGGTGGGGGACATCGGGGAGGGCCTGGTGCTGCCTGTGTTTATTTCCCGAGGTGCTGTACCGAGGCCAAGAGATACAGGAGCCGCGTGCTGCTGCATTCCTCCTGCCACAGGCGCCGGGGATGCTGCCAGGGAAAACTCCCTGCCCCACACCGGTGGGGATTTGGCTTCACCCCAAGTGCCAAAGCACCCTGGAAAACAGGGATGAGCTACACCTGTCCCCCAGCACCCACCGTGTGGTTGGGGGTCACCGTCACGGGTTGTCCATCCATGGTGTAATGTGTCTCTGTGTAGCCTGGCGCCAGAAGCCTGCGGAGGGAGGAGAGGGTGAGGAGCCTGGAGCTGCTCCAGCTGTCCCAACACAGGGACATGCTGAATCACTCTGCCTGAACCCCTTCACCTCTCCCTTTGCAGAGCTCCAGGCATGGAGGCGCCGGGCTCTGCTGCCACAGGGCTGGCACCCAATCAGCGTTTGTCCATGGCTACAGGGGACAGGAATCACAGCCCAATGTGCCCCTTTGCACCTCAGCAAGGAAGGGGGTGCCCAAACTCCTTTGGGCTCCTGGTCTGGGATGGGAAGGAGTCCAGCCCACCCAGCCCCAGCCAGAGGGCTCAGGCACGGCAGGGTCACCTTGTCACCACCAAGGACAAGGGGTCAGGCAGGGTGACAGCTTCTCCACAGAGACCAAGCCCTCCTTGAGACAAAGTCCTCAGGGATAAGCATCCTGCAGGGAGAAGAGCGGATCGGCCCTGTACTCAGGGACCAGATGAGGATGTGGAAACTTTGG